TTTTAATTTAGCGCATTTTCCAATCAGCGAAAAAAGCCAAATTAAAACCCAGTGAATAATTAACCCCTTTACAGTACATCAAACTTTCTTTATTTGAAGTTCTCAACTAAATGAGCATCATTCAGTGATACTGATGCTCACTGAATCATCAGTAATTTTAGTATTTTTTCAAAATGTCCTAATTTTGTTCAATCCTTTCAGACACAAGTGTTTTCTGTTAAATTTACTGTTTTACTAGCAGAATGTCATAAGATAAATTGCAAGATAACTGAACTCTTTGTCATTACTACTTAAGTTTTATACAGAGATGGGCATCAGTTGTTCAAAAGATGAATTGCCTTTATTAATTCTTCATACTGAAATAGCGTTAAGTCACATGTATTTTCACTATTTTGATATTTTGAGCATATTCACATAATTGTTTTATTATTTTGCATTTTCATGTGGATTTTATTTATTAGCGACAATTAAACTCACTTTAATTGAACCCTCTGAACATCACAGTCAAATTTATCACAATTTATAGGTCAAGCATGCTGAAAGCCTCCATGAGTTGCTGAAAAGATTGATAAAATCCGGTGTCAATGATGTGTTAAAACATCATTTTTTCCCCTATTTTTTAAAACATTTCAATCAAGATCTGTAAAAAACAATTAGAATAATGCATGACAATAGGGAAACTGTAGCACCAAAATATTTGCAGGAAAAAAAGATGGCACTAGAAGTATATTTAAAATATTGTAGCACTGGGTATTTCTTTGAGACAAAGTCGCTGTCACTTTTGAGAAATGTTGTAATTTGTACATGTCTTCTTTTATTGTAGTTTGAAATTGATCCAGAAGACAACATGGAACATCCTATCATTTCTGACAGTGCTACAGTATGTCATAGTAAATTACTGAAGTCAATCAACTCAATGCTGTAAGTACACTCCTTATATGGTCATTGTGAGGCAGGGTGTGGTAATCACTATTCTTCAACTACAGTATTAACCTTTGTGGAGTGACCAATTGAGGTAGCTAAACCTGTGAAATGTGACCACTCATGGTACAGTTAAATCTGTGTATAGTGAGCACCCAACCTGCAGTCAAACCTGTATATAGGGACCACCCAACCGACAATCAAACCTGTATATAGGGACCACCAAAAGTACAATCAAACCTGTGTATAGTGACCACCCAAGGTACAATCAAACCTGTATATAGTGACCACCTAAGGTATAGTCAAATTTGTGTAAAGCGACCACCAATACTACATGTGGTAATTTCTATTTTTCAACTACAGTCACACTTTTGTATAGCAACTACCCATCATGCAGTAAGGCAATCACCCATTAAAATGTTTTTCTTTTATAGACAGGTGATCTTTTGTATGTTAGCTTTATTTATTAAGCTGTGTTTTTGTAATCTGTGTAATACTGAGTCAAAATTACTGTTATGTTGCAAAATAAAAACATATGGTGACATGTAGGATGGTATATATTTATATAATTACATGCAAATAGTTGGGAAATTAATTTTTTGTTCCATCTTCATATCATAGCATAACATTTTTGCCCAGTATTACGTGTATTATGAAATATAAAAATTATATAATAATTCATTTCATTATTTTGTTTCAGAGGAAAAGATTTTGTCAATCATTCCCAAGGATCAGGTCCTGAATTCTTCGGTTTCTCGCATCCAACAATTCAGAACTTAATTCAAAGTTGTCCCGGTGCACGTAAATGTACACTTTACAAATGGAAGAAATTTGAGCCGTGTAAACCGAGTGAACGTGATGACATCATAGCAAGTATGGGCGAAAATGATCCTGCCTTAGTTTTGATGCTCTGGTACGAGCTAAGAATGCTGATTCGGGTATGTACCGTATCATTTCTTATCGTATTACAAATAATGTTTCGCACTTTGCAAACTTTTGTTTCCAGTTGAAGAATTCAATTTCTTTCAAATGATATAGTGCTTCCACGTCCGATATCCATAGCAAAGTGTCTGATTGTCTGACATAAAACACCTGAGTAAGGAGAGCTCTGATTGGTTTCCTTCCTGATGAAGCATTCTGATTGGTCAGTCATTGCCATTCAAAATCTAACTCTACCAAGACCACCATTGTCATTAGAGGACGGTGCAGTGAGGAGCTGCCACAAGAGGGTGCGGTAAATGACAATGTCTCCATAATGTCTGAGACAAAAAATCTTTTTTATCATTTTTTGTCATGTTTTCCAATTTCAATTCAATATTAATAAATTGTGAGCAGTTTATTGAAAAATTTGGTTCAGTTTCTTCGAGATTAGGCTGATCATTCATGTTGCAAATGCATTATTTGTTTTGTTTCATTGCAGATCGGGAAATGTTTTTACAAAGTCAGATATCAGCTCTAGATGGCCACAGCAGTCTTCGAACTCTGTTGACTACAGGCATGCCAAGTACAATGGGGATATCTGTGACATCACCAACAAGTCTCATGACATCACCACAAAGACCTATGGTATCAACACCAACTTTGATGGCATCACCACAAAATATGATGGCATCACCACAAAATATGATGACATCACCACAAAATATGATGACATCACCATCTGCGAGTCATCTTTCACCAAGCTTTTCTCATACCCAAAATGATTAAACCAGTTTATGTATTTGTTTTATTTGTAAATATGTGTATGTAAACTGAAATAATAGGTTTACATTAATACCATGTTGACTGGGTATCAGTTTATGAATGATTTCCTTATCAGTGGGCATGCTATGTTGAATGACTAACAGCTTACCAGTGGAAATGGGTATATCAGGTTAAATGGGTTGCAGCTTATCAATGGTCATGTCAGGATGAATGGGTAACAGCTTACCAGTGGAAATGGGTATATCAGGTTGAATGGGTAGCAGCTTACCAATGGTCATGGCCATGTCAGAATGAATGGGTAACAGCTTACCAGTGGAAATGGGTATATCAGGTTAAATGGGTTGCAGCTTATCAATGGTCATGTCAGGATGAATGGGTAACAGCTTACCAGTGGAAATGGGTATATCAGGTTGAATGGGTAGCAGCTTACCAATGGTCATGGCCATGTCAGAATGAATGGGTAACAGCTTACCAGTGGAAATGGGTATATCAGGTTGAATGGGTAGCAGCTTACCAATGGTCATGGCCATGTCAGAATGAATGGGTAACAGCTTACCAGTGGAAATGGGTATATCAGGATGAATGGGTAGCAGCTTACCAGTGGAAACGGGTATATCAGGATGAATGGGTAACAATTATTCATGGATAGCTAGACTGGAAATATAGCATTATGATTGGCTGAGATATTTTTTTTATTTTTGTAAACCACGATGGTAATTTAGCATAACTGTAGTCACTTTGTACATACCGGTAATTGATATTTGGTAGAAAATTATAGATTATATTTATACCACATTTATGTGAGAACGAAACAGACAAGCAACTTCTAGATTTTAGTTACAAGCTACAAATAGCTTTACACCCATTCAATGTAGACATATTATGAAACCAATATTATTCTTGGCATTGCTCTAAGTGGGATCGTTTGCCACTGAATACTTGTTGTCACAGATTTTTTGAATTATGTGTGAAAAAAACTAATGTATTTTACACACATTTGTTATATGTGTGCTTGTACACAATCTACCCGGGAAAGTCTTAACAATCCGACTGTTTAAAGTGCTATTGTCAAGCAGTTAACTCTTCTGTTTAGTCTGTGAAAGTAAAAGTATGTTTACATTTTGAATGTTGATTTGTATAGTTCATCCACATCACGTTTGAGTGCGTTTACAACAGTAAATGCCATAGTAATTGTCAGCATTTTGTAAACACACAAGATGTATGCTGTGTAATTTGATGAATAATTCAATACATACCCGGTAACATTTATTATTATACATCTGTCACCGTAATGTGTGCCGTAATTTTGTGGTATTTTACTGGGTATTTTCATCCTGCCATATTAGGAAATGCAAATTCCAAATATGGAATGATTACTTGCTTAAGCATCCTCTAATAATAAAAAACAAACATGGCGGCCACCAGGGTTTGACCAGACTTCACACAAAGAAGTTGATTTCGGCATTCCCATGATGTATCTTTGGAAGGAAAAGATGTATAATAATAACGTTATTACGAGGATATCTTAAAGTAAGCACTCAGACAGTATGCCGTCGCATTGACCTCCGCTGCGTGTGGGTTGATACTCCCGTTGTACTGTCTTTGTGCATACTTTGAGGTATCCTTGTAATAACCTCATAATATAAGCATGACCTTTCTAATACCCATTTTTACATAAAACCTCCATCGAAAATCAAATCGATCAGTTGATGAATACAAGTGTGACTAGTTTAAAATTAGCATAAAGACAAAGCGCCATATGTGGATTTACTAAAATAAAAGAACGACCAGAACAATAGGTCACATGACCAAGAGTGGTATAATTTGTATTAGTTGAAATATTGAAAAAAAATATTGTTATTTAAGTTGATATGCAGGTCATAAGTAACCGCTGATAAATGCAACTTTGTAGAAAAAAAAAACGAGTAACCGCTATTCTCAATTTTTGTTACTTTGTTTTATTTTTGTACTTCTGGTACGTCAAAGACGCCACATTTCAGATTGGCGGGTACTGATCGATCTGAAAGAAATAAAAAATGGAAATATGAAATATATTTAAAAATACTAAATTAATAAGTTAATACTCAATATTTTGTTCCAAATGTCAGTCACTGTAAACTGCTTAATTTACACTGCTAGGAGTTTATGTGCTTTAATGACATTTGTAACAGTAAATCTGTTACTTGGGTTTTGTGAAAGTTCCTAAAAAAAAGTCATGCTGGTATGATTTAAGTTTGAAAACACAGACTATTGATTTCCTTCAAACAAGGTCAAAACAAGATGTCATACATATGCACATTCAATTGTGTTTTTGATTTGATAAAAAAAAAACGATTTTGATGGGATGACAATGTATGCAGGTGGCAGGTGCATATTGTTATTTTTCAAGATAATTGACTAGTCCCCGATTTGTTTTTCACTATGTTTCAAAGTTGGTACACTGACGTTTATTTTATCGAATCAATGTTACGTCTCAATCTATACTGTTGATCGTAATCTTAGTGATTTTATATCATGACACTTAAATTCTTGACGAGGACATTTATAATTATGTGTTGGTCTTGTCAAGAACCTACCGATTTGTTTAGGTGGATCTAAATTCAAATTTTTCATAATGTCAATAAATTCTTCTTTGCTTTTCGTCAATCTTCGGTTGTATTTTAGTTCTTCATCAACGGTTGTTACTGTTCTACCTGCAATTTGAGGAAGGAAGCAACATTTTTAAATTACTTTTTTTTTGACTGGCTGATATCTTAGTTTTATGTAAGGTTGCTGTGAGATAAGAATCGCATGAAATAAGTATACAGAGAAAATCAAGTGTTGTACTATCAATTAGTGTATTGTTTGATGCGCATTCTCGTGACAAGAGAATTTTTACCTGTGTAGTCATGTCCTGGGTAAAGTAACGTAGTTGGTGGTAGTGATAGTATTTTACTATGGACTCCATCGTATAACAGAGCAGCATCACCTGAAAATAAAATAAACATTGTTTTCATTCTACAATCATTATCAGTTTACCAATAGACCTTAGAGTAAAATGGTCGTCGAGATCACGTTGAGAGCGAGGAAGCCACAGGACATGTTTGACTCGTTTCATTCTTTCTCATCCATTGTTTCAATTGCCATTGTTACAAGAGTCACGGGTATCTATAAATATCTATATGTTCTATGGCCTATATATAGTAATGACTTGGATCTTAATGTATGTTAATCACACAGGTTCCAGGGCCTGTATACATGAGGGAGCCTGGGATCAGCATGTGTAGAATATACACATGTTCCACAGCCTATGGGTGCCCCTTTCAATATGTATGGATTCTACACACGTTACAGGGCATGTATGCATGGTGGGAGGCAACCTTAGATTAATGTGCATGGAATCTATACATGTTCTGGGGCAATTATACATGGGTAAAGTCTTTAGTTTAGCATGTTATAAATATACACATGTTTCAGGGCATATGGGTGAGGTCTTGTATTTATGAAATCTACAGAGGCCATGTCTTTAGATTTCAATACCTTGTTGGAAGTCAGTTCTACCACATCCTCTAATTAATAATGCATCTCCAGTGAATGCCACAACGGGTTTACCATTGTCATCCAGTACGTAGGTCTGACATCCATCGGTGTGACCTGGAGTCGATAACACCTTTAATGCCTGCAAATAATTGACATATAAGACAATATTTGTTTGTCATAAATCACATGACAATGTTCATTGGTTTATTTGTACAATTGTGGAGCTATTGTCCCATGGCACCATGAAATATCCTTTTTTTGTGTATTACAGAAACTTTTCAAAAATTGATTTTTAGAACAAGTTCATAGAACACAAAGTTAAATTGCATTTTTCTACACTTTTTAAAACCCAGACTTTTGAAATAATTCATAACAACAAACAAGTACCCTATCATTATCATGTCACCAGCCTACGATTCAAGATAATACATAACATCACTAACATCAATAGTGCCAAAATGGCAACTATTCACTAAAATAGAAGCATAATTTCTTGAAAATTAGACTGTTCACTAATCTTACATTGCCCTGGGCTACAAAATATTGCAAAATGAATAAATTGTGGGTATTTTCATTGATGAGTAGGCTTCTACCTTAGGAAACTAACATCCGATGCATTCGAATAGATGTATAGCATTCATATGTACAAACTAAAGGGCTGAAGGTCTTCAGTATGTCTTGAAATGAATTCCTACCATTACATGCATGTACTTCTATCTCCCTATTGTTGCGCCCTCAAGCGATGACTACGTGCGATTGAGGGCGCTTTGCAGAATTAGTGATTGAATTTGAGGAAATATTTCAATGCCGTTTACCTCTAAATTCCTGAAAAATGCAGGGAACATGACATATATTGTCAATTTATAGAAATAAACAAGTACTCACAAATTTTCCAAACTTAATGCAGTCTCCTTCCACAGTTAAAAGATCGGCACTGGCGCCAGAATGTCTGGATATCACACTACGGCATGATGACACTTTCTTTTTCAATTCCCCAGTGCCCGTCACGTGATCTGCATGTACGTGCGTATTCACTTGAAAAGAAAACAAACAAAAAACAATAAATTTATGTTTTAAAATCGTGTGATAATACTCTGCTGTTAATACATACGAATCACGTATTGTTTTCCATTTTGTTGGCATGAGAATCAAGTTCTTCAGTTACACCCAATCCTCCCTTGTCCCGGTCACGATTCTGACACAGTGATAACAAAATATACTGTCACACATATGTGATTATATCCTACCATAATGTGTACCAGAGACAATGTTGCTAACCTAAGGTATTTTTGAGTACTGGTATATTTAATTAAAGCGGGGGAGTCGTCACCTGCGCATGCGTCATATGGCCATAGCGTGTCACTGTTTACAAACAAGCATGAGCATTTGCGCGTGTTGTTATCGTCGCTTGGGACTCGATTCCCGCGCGTGCGCAGGTGACGACCCTTCCGCTTTAGTATGACATGGAAGTGAAAAGGGTAAAGTATGCATATGTTACGGAGTATATACGTACATGTAATTCAACGCGCATGCGTACTGCCAAAGACATGTACTGGTAACTCTCTAAATAATCACACAAATGAAATTGTCTTTAATTTCCTTTTCTTTAATTTTCTTTGAAATTCAGAGTCTGTTACCTCCATATATAAGTGTAAGTCCGAGTTCTTTAATTACTTGTATATCTCTGTCTACTGTCTCCAGTACTGGGTCAATAAGCACGGCTTCCTTCGACTCGTCATCAGCTAACATATACGTATATGTGCTAGAATTACGTTCAAACAACTGAAAATAAATATTACTGATAAACATATATGTGATTTAAAACAACGATTTATTTAACTGTTGTCAAATTGAAATACTGAAAAATCATTTATTTTCGTTGGCATTTAATTTCACGAACTAGCACTCACGTGCGCGCATATACGCGCAAGCGCGTTGTCGACTGGTCTGATTCAATAGACCATTTTCCGTACACTGCGAGAATCACGCGTTATGCGTGAAATCGAACGTAAAAACAGGACAAACAAAGGTCATAGCGTCGTAGTGGCGTCAAACATCGCGTGGGATTCGACAAACGCGAAAGTATTTGGGGGACATTTCCATGCTTAATAATGTGCTGTCCACATTTGATGATAGGCAATTTCGATTAAGTAAGGGTATTCGGAAGCAATATTCCTCTGTCGAAGATCGGCCGGTCGGTGTGAGCTACGAAATAAGGAAATTCGAGTTCAAAATCAAATCGTTCGATTTTTGCGGCAGACGTTCGACGCGCGTCTTTCATGCATCTCGCAAGATCTCGCAATTGTACGGAAAATCACCTATTCAAATATACAAAAATCCACAATTAAATTTACTCCAGTATAGCATGTATATCATAGTGTCAGTCATAATAGATAGTAAAGACATGAATTTCTTGTATCGTCCATTATACGACAAACAATATGCCTGCCCCACCAACTACATTTGACACATATAAATAGATCATTGTTTTCTTTTTAAATTGCATGAAAATGTTCGTTTCATAATGAACCCCTTTCTTTGAGGTGACTGGTGTTCAATTCACAAGTGATCACTTTTACCACACTGGGAACTATGTCAATTTCAATTATGACTTGTTTTTTGTATGGAAGAAATATGGGCTCAAATAAATTATTAAATAATATTAAATACAGGTGATCCAATGCGCCGTGTTAAATTGATTGAAATGAACAACCAATTACAACTGTTCACCCAGTCAGATAAGGGATATCTATAAGTGTAGTGCATCGAAATTGTACATCGTTTTCTCCCCCTCTTTATATCATTTTTAGTTAGCCGTATTTTGATTATTAGCATGTCCGAAAACTAAATTTATCTCTGCCTCACATATAGCTTATCCAAAATCCTTTCCCGAAAATCACGAAAAAAACACTTACCTGACGGAAAATCAACCCAATAGGGAAAGAAGACGACATATCGCAATCTTTAATAAAAAATCTGTAGTAAAAAATAACGTTGGTTTCTCGGCGCGGAGTGGGTATGACCACGAACATAAACGGTAACAAGTTGAGAACCGAGAACGATTGAACGTTCTAAAATATTAACGTTATGGTAGCGCCCTCTAGTGGTGATATCTCCGGGAACTTACGTTCAAAGCAAAGCTTCGTTTTAAGCAGGGGGGGATTGGCACGAGAGGGCGCCATCCGATCCGTAGCCCACCGTCAAAGCAACAACGTCCCGTTTACGAACAGATGAAATAATTTAAGCAATTTCTTTACAAAATAATCCTCAACAAAACTTAGAAACATTTCATAGACAACTACAGGCTCCAAAATTATGTCTATTGCAAAACAATTCAACCGACAACCAGTTTGACGCCACAATTTCTTGCTGGAGCCCGAGTTCTACGCGTGATTTTATTGCGTTCAAAACTGTTCCATTTCAAACTGCGCATGCACACACACTGTGGTTTCTCAAAATGCATACTAATTAGGTAACTTGTCACTGATAAAAGTCACCGAAAACATTTTGAGCAATTTTGAGCAATAGTACTAGAGTGAAATATAAACGTGCCTCTGCATTCTCCATTAATTTCGTAACTTGCTATGATCATGGTAAAGAGAAAACCTGTGCTTACTTTCAACAGTTAGCTGAAGTCCGATCAAAAACGTGTCTCAAAAAATACCTTTACATCATTTTTCCGATAATTTTTGTTCAGTTCGTAACGATAGAATCAATCAATTTAGAACTAACATGTATGCTATCGGAAAGCATTTTGGCACAATTTTACTGAAAAGACGAGTTTTTCATTGCTCGTGAATATTAATTTAGGCAAATAAAACAATTATTTCAACCAATCGTGTCATGCACCCCCCCCCCCTGGTTTTAAGAATAAGATGCGAGTTTTCTGATGTGATTATACTCTGACCCCGAGATAAAGTACGCATGAGTGACCATATGTACAGTTACTTCTTTTGATGCATATTTATGCTTAATTTGTTTTCAGTTGATTCTTTATTGCCAAATATTCTGTAGCTAGCAGTCCACGTGCTGTACTGCCCAATATTCAATATTTTACACGTGATTTCGCAGAAGTTTGTTTGAAGGTAAGGCTTACCAAATCTGTATTTAATGAACACGAGATGTCATTCACATTGCTAGACATCAAAGTTTAGTATTCCCATGTAACAAAGACTATATGAATTGTTTTACCGTTGCAGAGAGTTTTTAACTTGAGTTTTCCGTCACCAGCGATACACCGAGGGCGCTGTATGTGATTGTATGGCGGTAACCCTTGTACTGCATGAACTGGAATTAGAGTATTTGTATTTTAAAAGATTTTATTCAATTTTTAGTGAATTCATTTTGTGTTGTAATTCTAATTCAGTAAATTGATTACAGTAATTCAATTAATTACAGGAATAGAACGATTATTGCCAATCTACCTGTAAAAACGATATGTACAATTCTCCACAGTAAAACTCCACACATGGAAATACAGAAGATCCCAAAGAGAAACTTGCTTGTGAAGAAAATAAGATCGTAGCTTTTCAACCAATGGGCATGCCACGTCAATGTGTAACAACTATTATTGGATAGATAGACTGCAAATGTGGCATTATGATTGGCTGAGACTTTTTTATTTTTGTAAAACTGTAGTCACTTGGCACATCTTTTATTTATATTTATTAAACAATTATAAATTATATTTATATCACAAAGGGTTATATGAATGACATGTGAGGACATTACGAGGCAAACTTTGATCTCACAAAATATTGTTTTTCTTGAAAATAAGCAAAACAAATATAACGCCTATCTGTTTATTTGAAAAACTGGATAATACAAGTATTTGATTAATAATAATGCTGAAGTTGCTGCTAAGGCAACCATCTAAATTACCTATCCTAACATCAATACATGGCATACGTAACAACCTGAATGTGACTGTTTTAAAGTGTTATTGTCCAGGGGCTAGTCTGATAAATTATATATTAATAGTAAATTTGAAATATTGATTTCCCGAATTAGTTATTTCAAAATATTAAACAAATATCGCTACTCAAGTTGATATAGAAGCGCTGTGTTCGTTTCATTGCAGATGTAAGAAAACGAGTAACCGTTATTCTTAATATGTGTTCTATTCTGTTTATTTTTGTACTTCCGGAGTGTCAAAGACGCCACATTTCAGATTGGCGGGTACTGATCGATCTGAAAGAAATAAAGATAGAAATATGAAATATATTTAAATATATTAAATTAATAAGTTAATACTGCCATTTTGTTCCAAATTATCTTTCAGTCATTGTAAACTGTTTAATTTTAACTTTTATGAGTTTTCCCAATTTGATGATTTTTGAATAGCATTCGTATAGACGAAATTTAGTCACTGTGACTCCCTAGGTCACTGGTGAAAATCACTGAGATTCCCTAGGACACTAACGAAAATCACTATGATTTATAGTATATTTTCAGCAATGTAGAATATTAGCATAAATTCAAATATTAAATTGAAAGTTAATTATAATCATTTCATGTCATTTACAATCAGTCTTCTTTTGTCTTGTCAAGAACCTACCGATTTGTTTAGGCGGATCTAAATTCAAATTTTTCATAATGTCAATAAATTCTTCTTTGCTTTTCGTCAATCTTCGGTTGTATTTTAGTTCTTCGTCAACGGTTGTTACTGTTCTACCTGCAATTCAAGGAAGGGAGCGAGATTTACAATTTTGACTGGCATAATATAGAAGTACGTTACAACAAATGATATGAATAAGTTTTATGCGAGGTTACTTCGAGATAAAGATCACTTGAAGAAAGTTTACAGAGAATATCACAAGTTTGATTGGCCTCACTTTGAGGAAATAATTGATAAATTGATTATACACATTTGTGGAATCTCAATTGCAGTCAGATCATAACTAGTGGAATGTGTTGTTTATATTTAACTGCACGTTCTCGTGACTAGAAGATGGCACATACATACGGTAAAGTAGTCAACATAACGAGAAACATTTTACAGTTTTCGAAAATGAGGCGGTTTTACGTATTTTAGCTATTATGTTTAAAAATGTGACTGATCTGGCCTTACTTTTTAAATATTTAGGCCAAACTAATTATTAATAACCAATGGCCAACTCACAATGACCATTTGTAGATGATAATTTTGACAAATATGAAATAATAGTTAATTTCAATCCTCTTGAAATTTATCATTTTATTTGTAAGTCACAGTTATGAGTTTCGCACCACAGTTATAATTTCTGTCATGGTCAGAGTCACGTGACGCCCACAACTATTTTTTAAGCAATGACGATACCATAGTTACCAATCGTTTACACTGTTGTCATTGGGAGTTTCTATAGCAAGGCATATCGCATCAATCCTTACCTGTGTAGTCATGTCCTGGGTAAAGTAACGTAGTTGGTGGTAATGATAGTATTTTACCACGGACTCCATCATATAACAGAGCAGCATCGCCTGAAGGGAAAATAAACATTGTTGTTTTCCTTCCTCAATTTTTAACGTCACATGCACTGTTCAAATTACCATGGTAACATAGATCAAGTGGAACAGTGGACGCAAGGACGGTTGTGAATGAAAATACTATTTGAGAGACAAAAACAAGTCTCGCACTCTCTCGTTTCCAACAAAATTTCTCCAGTCTTTCAATACCTTGTTGGAAGTCAGTTCTACCACATCCTCTAATTAATAATGCATCTCCAGTGAATGCCATAACGGGTTTACCATTGTTATCCAGTACGTAGGTCTGACATCCATCAGTGTGACCTGGAGTCGATAATACCTTTAATGCCTGCAAACAATTGATATATTAAGAAACTAAAATCTGTTAGAAATGTGATGCATTGAAATAGGTGTATAGCATTAATATGTACAAACTTAACGGCTGGAGTCTTCATTAATAATAATAATAATAATACAGTTTTATTACACCGTAATGAAATTACAAATTCATTTTTGGCTGAAAGTAATAAAAGGTATAGTAAAAAGGTACATAAAAAAACAGAACGTTAAAATAACATAAGATTAGGCAGTACAAATTAATACAGTTTGTGTTTTAAAAAAGCAATGCCTACGTGCAGCTTGCGGCGCTTTGCACAAAGCTGTGATTAAGGAAATGTATTATAATGTCGTATATCTCTAAATCCCTGAAAAACGCAGGAAACATGACATATATTGTCAGTTTATAGAAATGAATAAATACTCACAAATTTTCCAAACTTAATGCAGTCCCCTTCCACAGTTAAAACATCAGCACTGGCGCCAGAATGTCTGGATATCACACTACGGCATGATGACACTTTCTTTTTCAATTCCCCAGTGCCCGTCACGTGATCTGCATGTGCATGCGTATTCACTTAAAAAAACAAAAAAACAATAAGTTTATTTTGAAATCACGTGACATTGCGTGTTCGTACAATACAAATCATACATGAAACACAAACTTATTATTAAAGTTGTACTGTCGGCGACATTTTGTCTGAAGCCTGGAGTCTTCATTTTTTGAACCAACCATTTATCGAGATGTATCAAAGAAAATTAATTAACCATGTTCAAAAATACTCTAAGTTATTTTCACATAAACTTGGTCTCTTAATTTTGTTTCTTGTTAAATAAGAATCCGAGTCGATTACCTCCATATATAAGTGTAAGTCCGAGTTCTTTGATTACTTGTATATCTCTGTCTACTGTCTCCAATACTGGGTCAATAAGCACGGCTTCCTTCGACTCGTCATCAGCTAACATATACGTATATGTGCTAGAATTACGTTCAAACAACTGAAGATGAATATTCAAACAAACAAAATTTGCTTACTTAATTAGCAAATGTTAAATTGAAATAAATTAACGTCCAGGTCGAGAAAAAAAAGAACCCTGCACATTCACAGTGCATTTTTCGCTGTGTTACACATACGATAATATCAGAAATCACCTGGGTATAAGGTCACGCAGGGTCAGGGGTCAAGGTTGAGTTATAAACTCTGGTGTTGGGTCATCGGTTCACGGACAGCGGGAAGACATCACGATGTAATGAAATCCGAACAATGAAACGAACATAGTTTATGCACATTCGAATACAATTATTGTTTCCATAGAAACAGTCTCAATCGCTGGTCGTTTTGAATTGCACGTAAACTTGACAGAGCCAAATCAAAAATGCAGGTTATCCAAGGTTACATTACTGACAATGGAAATGACCAACCATTGTTTTTCATACCCAATCACATAAGAGATATATCGTAAGTATAAGTAGCCACCAAAAATTCTACAACTGTTTTGTTTTGTATTTTGATTATTAACATGTCCGAAAACTGATTGTCAAGAAACATGTGAGGACGTACTTGTCCTACATGTGAGACACCATTGAAACTATTCAGTCCAATCTGTGATTATACTTTTTTTTTCAAAAATCGTGACTTTGTACTGTTTAAATGAAAATAAACACTCACCTGACGGAAAATCAAGCCAACGGGAAAAGAAGATGACATTTCGAATTATTTTTTTTAAAAAGAAAGTAGTAGTGAATCAATAACACCGGTTTCGCGGAGTGAAGTGCGTCCGTGTATGACCACGACTATAAACTGTGACCTTACGTGGGTAACTGGTAGCCAGGGGCGTTATCTATGTAATCGATGTAAACATACGTACCAAGATACTTGGAGATACTCTTAAAACAAATGCGATTTGCTTCATGCAGATGACTCATGCAAGGTCTATATTTACACTTCGAAACAAGTCTTGCAGAAACATTGATCCCTTAATGTACTACTAGTATTACATTTATCTCTGGTTATTTTTTTTGTCGTGTATTAGTTATTGGGTTTTCACAGACACAATATTGTATCATTGATTTCAGTTACACTCCCTTAATTCGTTGTATCATAGACCCTTTAAAAAAGGTTGTATATATACTCAATACGACAAATAAAGCTTTGATTTCCGTTATTGCGTGCGTCAGAGAAAAACTAGACTGGCTCAGCTGTGGCAATTTTATAACAAAATTCTTAAATCGTGGTCCGACGCGAAATTTCGTCAACGCGGAACATTCTACAACTTGTTAAATTGTTATCACGTAAAACCAAAAAAATGCCAAACTCTACGAGGTATACATTTAGTCCTTAAAGGCCCAGCATATATCATTTTCTTACCTTTTGACCATTGTTAAAATGTCTTTGACAATTTTTTTTGTTTTGCGTTCTTGGATGTGGATATCGGTTGCTAAGTTATTTCACCCTCTCTCCTTGCCTACTCAAATCTGCCAGTGAGCCTGATCTTGTCGTGTGAACAGCGCCCTCGTCGACGGCTACGGTAAAAAAAATGTGTTTAATTATGAGGTGGCACGACCATTAACCCCCCCCCCCCATACACACACACACCTAGAAGGAAGATTGGTGGCTAGGAATTTGACTTCGAACATCACCACTGAGAAAAATTTGTAATTTTATTGCTCCAATTTAATCATAGTTCAGCTGTGTTGTGTTGTCTCTCAATTCCTTCGTTCCTGGCCCTACTCGGGATTCCAAATGTATCGCCCCTTACCAATAAACGAACGAACATCCTTAATTAATACCGTTTTCAAAATGTTATTGTTTCAGTTTCCGGGAGGTCACACACGACATTGTACATAAATATAGGACAACATACTTAAAATAGAACACAATGCACTCTGCAAAGAGCGTCGACGTTAAGGAATTTGAAGTAAAATGCTACTGGTGCGTCCAAATTTAACTGTTTCTGACACTGTGACACCTCAAATATGCACGTAATGGACATGAGGTATGTCCTACATTCCAAACCCCGTTCCTAAGTATCCCAGAACACCGGCACGTTTACAAACGTGGTTGAACCCGTTAACGGACAACTTACTGCATAATCTTGGATGCACACATGTATTGTTATTTATGAGGATCGAAGACCTTTGGGGGATATTAAAATTAATGTGACCGCAATAAATAATGGAATGGCAATATTGCAGTATGAGACACTGTTTTGCTAACAAAATAGCTACATTACACAAAGTGTTGTCATGGTAAACAATGGTTACATTGTGAGCAATATATCTATATCATTAGCAAAACAGTGCCCCGTACTGCAATATTGTCGTTCTATTATTTATTGCGGTCATAGTAACTTGACCAATGAGTGAACGGAGTCAGCAGAATTAGTCTTCTGTAAGGCCAACAACTCGAATATAGTGAATATGTTTTTGGTTATAATCGATATAAATATACATATATATTAATTAGCTCACGTTATCACAAAACAAGTGTTGATGGGGTTCACAACCATACGACGACCCGTTGTGGAGACCATCGGGATTTCAACATCATTTCATCATTCTCGATGAAAAACTCTGTCTCGTATAACGTATTGCGATTTCATTGCCCTGGGTAATCTCTAATTACATTGAGCAAAGGGCGGAGTATGATCCTCTTCTGTGGATAGAACCGGGAACAAACGTGAATAAAGAAAAATAATTATGGTGCCGTGAGCAGCTTATCATTTGACCTGTTCATTATGTGCGTGCAAATGTGGGCGAGTGTAAGAAAATGTTCACAGGTTTACAGTCGTCAAATTTTGTTTAAACATCGAATGTAGTATTTTACACGCGTTGTATACTTCGCATGGAGCACATTTCGACGCGGTGCAGTTACTGTGGGCGCTTAGTAAATGAAGGGAAAAGTCATCTATATATAAATATATATATATATTTTCGTGCAAGGCGACAATTGTTATTGACATTGAATATATGACATTGTTGCGCCTCCTGTGTTGTGTTATAGAAATTTAAATTCTGTCTTAACTGAAGGATAAATTTAAGTCACATTATGTCCATACGAGTTTGCAGTATTGTGTTTTCCCCATAATGCATCTGTTAGTCCACGCACTGTAAGTGTATGCACTTCAGTGAGTAAGTGGTCAGTAAAATTGTCCTTACGAATCAGACTGGAAACCCTTGTCGTAAATATTCAGCAACCCCGCCCCATGGAACAGAAATGGGCCCATACTTTGAAATACTATTAGATGGGGTGGTAGAAGAGCCAGCCGTTATATATTATAAATAAGGGGTTAACCATTTGAAATAACAGGGGTGGAAGAGTGTGACAATCGCATTTTTGCGGTGTCTTAAATGTACATTTTTCTTTTTCTTGAATGTACCAAAATGTTTTCTCTGCAACACCTTGCATGCAATTGGTTTTCCCCTGGGGTCTAGATTTCCCGTAATTTTCAATGATCAACACCCCAGCCAGTAAGGTGTGAGATTCAAGTTGTAAAAACACTATCGGTATATTGAACAAAAAGAGAAAATGTTGCTTACAGTCCACAGTGAGTTCTTAATATTGTGTTCACCATTTATCCAATCTCCCACATTATATCTTGAAGTTTCATAAAAAATACACAAAATACTAATATAGATATACATATTTATTACTACTACGACTTCACAATCTATGGTTGCGACAATCAATGTAATGTATCCGTCTACACAAGTCACGTGACCATATAGGTTGTTGAACCAGTGCACTGAATCTAGATCCAATTGCTAATATAATTGATTCTTTATTCCAAACCGCGTGCTGCCGACCTGGATTACGTGCACGTGACGACAAACCCTGCAAACAAGTCAATCATGCGCCGCGGGAAGCCATGGGACAAAAATCTAAAACTACAATCCATTACACCCTTCTTAGTCGATGGAACAATTCTACACTGAACCATATTAGCTGGGTGTCAGAATTTTAAACAACATTTAAGAATAGTTACTTTCTTTTTTTCAATTGTAACAGTACCTAGCGTCATCACAATACAGGAATGTCCCTGGATGAAGCCCATTCAACTACGCTAATATTGTTGACGAATACGAATTCTCACAGTTAGCGTGTAATATTTATTAGACGCATAAAATCCTTAGGAAAGGATAAAAAGGGTCTTACAAAAAGAAATTTAAAAACTATAATTTAAAAAGAAAGAAAAAATATTCCATAAATATAAAACAAATAAATGGTGCTAGACACAGTCCCTCTATCGTATAGATCGAGAGACTGTGTGCTAGAGTATGGTTTCCCATTATCATATCTTATCTTATCAATTTATTCTGCGAGTGTTGCACTAGGATACCACGCACAATGTAAAGGCTTCATATTGAGAAATTAGTCGTAAACGCATACCGATAGCAAAAGGTATTTAGTAAGTGGTGTTGTGGTGTGCCAATATGAACTACCACTAGCGATTTTAGAACTTGATAATACTGTTTCGTTATTTAGTAAAAAAATCCAAAATACTATCATACCATATTGTTACATTATTCGTGTGACCATGCGTCATAACAATGCAGTCACGTTTAGTAGTAATTGTGGTGTTAAACCTTGAACTAGATACAATGCACGACCCCCAGATTTGTTTCAATTATTTACTTTAAGCATGGAGGTACCTCAATAATTTATGTTTCTTGGCAATTATGGTCTCAATTTATATAAATAAAGAGCGACATCAAAACAAAAATTTATTCAATTACAAAATGCTATTTCTTGTTTCAATATGATTTATAAAATTCAATTCAAAAGTCTGACCTTTGACCTTGTGATTAAATCACATCTGAAACTTGTTTGTACATTTACAATTATTGCAACAGATGTGGGGAGAACAGTTGTACAGTTTACAAATAAATAGGCAAATGTAACTTTCGTTTCTGATGTTCATGAACAGGTCATTTCCTTTGGAAAAACCCTGGAGGGAAGCAGAACAAATTGAGGGAGTGGTCATGAGAAAACCCTGGAGGGAAGCAGAACCAATTGAGGGAGTGATCATGAGAAAACCCTGAAGGGAAGCAGAACCAATTGAGGGAGCGGCCTTTAGAAAATTCGGGAGGTGAGCAGAACAAATTAAGGGAATGACCGTTAGAAAACCAGGAAAAGGAGCAAAATAAATTAAGGGATTCATCATTAGGAAACCAGGGGGGGTAAAACTATTTTCCAGAATATGCGAGTAAAAACATTTCACAAGATTGTATATGTACAGATGTTTGCATTCAGTGTTGGATTTAATCATCTGGTGCACACTATACTGCTGTGCCCTTCAATGTGAATTGAAAAAAAAAAAATTTTCAAATGTGACGCCAATGATGCGTTGATTGTTGCTGACTAAATTTAACAAGGGAAATTTTGAACAGTAGAATAAAGTGAAAATAGTTCATCAAAATATGCAACGAAAAATATTAAACACATCTATTTACGCTGATCATCCAAACGATCAATTTCTTCACACTTTAATTGTCATTTCAATAGACCACTTTGCCAGTAATGGCTTTTTATGACAATTGTTCATTTTTCAACATATTTCAAATTCCTGAGCATTCCAGTATATTAAAAAATGACTATAAAATAATATGTGATGGTATGTATGAATTATGGGAAATGTTCTGAAAAACCGCAAACCAGTGGTCTGAATACATCCATCCATCCATGCACGCACATGGCTACTTTATTCATAACCTACAGCAAGTGACATATAAACAAAAACTTTCCAATGATTTTCTGTGAAACTATTTTCTAAAATAAGGCTGCATTCACAAAAAATAAATACATAATCCAAACATATGATGGTACTATTATTAAAATTTATTGTTACAATGTACACAACTATTGTATATCTAATGAATACAGAATATGCTGTAATCCATTCCAGAAACAATTTTATATACCCTCCTCCCCCTCTTTTCACTGCAATGATGGTTATCCTCTTTTCACAGCAATGATGGTTACCCTCTTTTCACAGCAATGATGGTTACCCTCTTTTCACTGCAATGATGGTTACCCTCTTTTCACAGCAATGATGGTTACCCTCTTTTCACAGCAATGATGGTTACCCTCTTTTCACAGCAATGATGGTTACCCTCTTTTCACAGCAATGATGGTTAACACCCTAATAATCATACACTATAAAAACGACTTAAAACATTCTAATTACTGTGAATGGATTAATTATTCACTGGATTTTAATTTTGCTATTTCTGATGATAAGCAAAATATGCATATTTTATTTTAATTTATGTAGCCAGTATTAGGATTGAAGTCGCATATTATGGACTCATACTGTCATTTTGGGTCAACAGGTCAAAGCCAATTACATACCGGTATTCAGAAATGGGGCTAATCTGCACTGGCTCGGAAGGTTGTAAATGATTAGCTAGTTTGAATTTGCATAACAATACTGACAATGAACGTGCATTCAATGCCACAAGTTTTTTGTTTTTTTAGCCAATTAGAATTCATCTTCCGAGCCAGTGCAGATAAGCCGCAGAAATGATATACATCTATGCAGCAAGAACACTGAACCGTCAGCTTTACGTCCCCTACGAAAGGACGCATTTCTCTGAAATACAAATGTCGTGAACCAAGCAAGTGAGAAGAATGTACTGGTGAGTGTGAAGCCAACCATGGGAGTTAAACCCAGTCTCTCTGATGATGGGCAGACATGCTAATCATTCATTGTGTAATACAACAGGTTGTAGATTCATGTGAGTATGGCGAATTGTAATAAAGTTTGTTGTTTCATTTGAATATTCACGAATTTAAAACTCGGTTAATATATTCAAAATAGTTAAATTGAATACCAGTGAAAATTAATGGTTTCGCAGTATGTGAGCTTGCACGCATATTAAATATACTACCGGTATCCATGACAACACTATCATATTTGCAAATCATAATTTTTTAAATCTATAAGTAAGTCTATATTTGTACAAGTACTAATTTGTCAAAAAAATGGAGCTGTATAATCTGAAAATGATTACTGACAAAATACTTCTTGTCCTATGTGTACTCTGCAGTGTGTTTGAACACATATTTCTGCTGCCAAAATGTCAGAGCAGCATTTTATGCAATTTTTTTTATTTTAATTTCGGATAAATTCAAATTTGCTACATGACTTTACAACAATTTGTGAAAAAAATTGTGAAATAAATGTCAGTTTACTTTTTTTGAAAGTAACAAAAGATGTTCAAGGTGCTCAAGGAGTTGAGCCTGGTGATAATGACATGTTTAAATTTTTTGGAAGACAATGAAAGTAAAACAGCCAAGGTCAAAAACCTTATTTTTCAAAATCGTATTAAATGTATTTTCATGAATTTGAGGTTGTTAGCGACAAATAATTTTTGTGAAAACCATTGCCATTAAAAATGGTGAATGGTTTGTTATTTTCAACTGACCCGCCACATGTATTCCAGAAAACATGAACATTATAGAAAAAATAATGAAACACTGAGTGATATGATTTTACAGAATATTTACACTATTTGCATATTTTTTGTTTTTCACATGCACAGTAAAATGAATTTTTAAGATTAATAAAATTCCTCATTTTGGCTGGCTCGCAAAATTCACACAAATTTGTCACTCATGAAATTAAGGCAGTTTTGGTACTTCAGCTCAATAAACAGGATAAAATCAGCTGAAATGTTATCCATTGAATACCTCACAAACGTATACAAACAAATCATATGGAATATGCAAAGATAGACTCATAACAAGTTTTCCACTGTTAGCTGAAAGACAGTTTGACAATATAAACAAGCAAAATGGAAAAAAAAATTCAAAATACTTAGACACACCAATAATTCATGTTATCAAAATATATGTTGCAATCTGATATTTGGAGACATTTAAGTTGGCAAAAGTTACAGAAGTTGCTCTCAGAAATCATTTTTTTTTTGGACAATTATGTAAAACATTATGATCTTAAACCTTTTTCAGATCAGTTCCCTTATTTTTTCATCACAAAATATTCCAGTTTATAGTCGGCAATTTCCTTCAGTAGATTGTGACAAAAACAGTTAGAGTGAAAACTGTAAATTGACTAAAATGTTTCTGTTGGTTCTAAAATTTAGGGTTCATTTCCAGAAATATTGAAGAACATAAGAAGAAAGTGCAGAAAAATTAGGGTGAGAAAGTCTGTTTGTGAAAAGGTTATTGGGCATATAAAATAAAGATGATGAGTACACTTGTGGATATGATTACATACCATGTTTTTCATTTCAAACTAAGAAGGCATTGTGTGTAAATTCTCAGACAGGTTTGTATTATATTATTTTCTGTGCTTTGCAATAAATAAATAAATGAATTTTTGGACATCTTTTTGTATTACAATGAAAATCATTGCAGTTAACATACATTCTCAATGTGATTATAAACTGAAAACGGACTTCTCAAGGTGAACCAAGTGAGTATTGGTCACCAAATCCGGGAGGAGAATAATGCACTGGAAAGGAACGCTTGTAGCCAAGGTGTTTATTGCTTAATTGCTAGGCTTGGAACCGAGTCTAAATACTCACGAGATGTTCCATGCAATGTATCAATATCATTATGCAAATAACTAAACTAAATGTCATAGCCTCAAATCATTACAGTGATATTTTGATATTTGGGGCATTCCATGAAAAGGTGTAGTTCATCTCATATTTCTTGAAGTGAGCGATCACAAATTCTACCTTCAAAAGGTGTTTTGAGATTGGCATGTGAAAAATGATGTTCAGATCAAGCTTAAATCTGTCAATATTTCTAGTGATTCATATGATTAAATATTCCAGAATTTCAGAGAGCAACTTTATAAAATTAATCCTGAATTCAAATTTTGCAATCTTGAGCATATTTTCGGTTATTGGGGAGAAATTCTCATTGAGCTTGAATCTAATTTTGTGTATTACAATTATTTATAAGATAAAGACATGTAACATTGATACAAAGTGTACATGGGCTTTTCAAACAATGACAGAAAAGAACACAGTAGATGTTTTAAAATTGCATTAAAGTAAATAAGTGAGATTATCACTGTATTTAAAAAATGCAAAACACATATAATACATGCTTTGAGAATACTAGTAAGCCAGGACACTTGTAAGCGGCCCGAGACAAACACTAAACCTGTTTTCTCAGACTCACCTATTCACATTAAAGGGCGGTGGTCGTTGTGCCGCGTCCTGTTCGATATGGGACTCATAGCGACGTATACAACACGTGTAAAATACATTGTTTATTTACATGAAATTCGAACACGCGCTGCGTGACGACGACCGCGCTTTAATTTAGTATTTTGTATGTGTCGTTTAGTGATCATCTCAGAATGTACTACTTCAATATCTGTGAGAGCTTAATCCCATATCAAACCATACCATACCCTCATCTCAAATCCTTGTAAGACCTCATATTGGAAAAATGAAGAAAAGTATATTTCGTCAATACCACACCGACACCAGTGAAATGTTCACTGCAACAAAATTTTGTAAAAAATTCCCTGAAATTAAATCAGCTCATACTACCTGCTGAAGGGGCATTATGGGTAATTTAGCAATATTGCTAGACATTTACATAAACGCATACATTTGTATTTATAAAGCAAATATAGCATACATGTATGCCTCAAGGGAAATTGTACTTGTTTTACACTGATATTAGCGGATCAAACCGTTCTTTATGACGTTGGCGGATCAAACCGTTCTTTATGACGTTGGTGTATCAAACCGTTCTTTATGACGTTGGCGTATCAAACACACCGCACACCATGTTAGCTGGCAACGCACGATCTAAAAAAAAAAATATTATTAATTAATATTATTATTAATTATTGATATAAGTACACTGAACATACAAGAAATATATATATATATATATAAAGATTTGAGTTTTTTCTCCCATACAACAGGCATTGTCTTTTTGGTTGAAAAATTAAAATTGCACGGCTCTCCTTAACACAGTAACATGAGTGACTACTGAAGCTATACTTTTAAAATCACTTCAAAATGACCTGAATTATATTCTGATTTGTGCGAGTGACTAGATAAACAGAAAAAAACTTCATGCATTGAATATGAATACAAAATACGACTTGACATTAATCAATGCATTCAGGTAATATTCTAGTCACGAAGTGATCATGTCTATGGTGAAAATTTGTTGACTCAGGTTATTTAGCTATTTGAGCCTCATTTATCAACCTTTGGCACCATCTATGAAATTATTTTCTACAGTCTGCTCTACCAGACATGAAGTGTTGATAAAAATTGACAAATCATTTGATCACAAACTAAGCTTTATCTGAAGCTTCATGATCCAAAATGATGATAAAATTGAGTGACAGTTTTACAAAATGTCAAAATATTTGCACTGAATTTGGTAAGTGAAAAATACCTGGCACTCAAAGGGATAAGACAGAGCAACATTATGACCCCCCCCCCACTCCTTTAGTACGGTAAATTCAAATTCTACTCACTGATAGCTTTTGGGTATACTAAATTCAAATTCTACTCACTGATAGCTTTTGGGTATGGTAAATTCAAATTCTACTCACTGATAGCTTTTGGGTATACTAAATTCAAATTCTACTCACTGATAGCTTTTGGGTATGGTAAATTCAAATTCTACTCACTGATAGCTTTTGGGTATACTAAATTCAAATTCTACTCACTGATAGCTTTTGGGTATGGTAAATTCAAATTCTACTCACTGATAGCTTTTGGGTATACTAAATTCAAATTCTACTCACTGATAGCTTGTGGGTATACTAAATTCAAATTCTACTCACAAATAGCTTTTGGGTATGGTAAATTCAAATTCTACTCACAAATAGCTTTTGGGTATGGTAAATTCAAATTCTACTCACTGATAGCTTTTGGGTATACTAAATTCAAATTCTACTCACTGATAGCTTTTGGGTATGGTAAATTCAAATTCTACTCACTGATAGCTTTTGGGTATACTAAATTCAAATTCTACTCACTGATAGCTTTTGGGTATGGTAAATTCAAATTCTACTCACTGATAGCTTTTGGGTATACTAAATTCAAATTCTACTCACTGATAGCTTTTGGGTATGGTAAATTCAAATTCTACTCACTGATAGCTTTTGGGTATACTAAATTCAAATTCTACTCACTGATAGCTTGTGGGTATACTAAATTCAAATTCTACTCACAAATAGCTTTTGGGTATGGTAAATTCAAATTCTACTCACAAATAGCTTTTGGGTGCGGTAAATTCAAATTCTACTCACTGATAGCTTTTGGGTATGGTAAATTCAAATTCTACTCACTGATAGATTTTGGGTATGGTAAATTCAAATTCTACTCACCGATAGCTTTTGGGTATGGTAAATTCAAATTCTACTCACCGATAGCTTTTGGGTATGGTGAATTCAAATTCTACTCACAAATAGCTTTTGGGTATGGTAAATTCAAATTCTACTCACAAATAGCTTGTGGGTATGATAAATTCAAATTCTACTCACTGATAGCTTTTGGGTATGGTAAATTCAAATTCTACTCACTGATAGCTTTTGGGTATACTAAATTCAAATTCTACTCACTGATAGCTTTTGGGTATACTAAATTCAAATTCTACTCACAAATAGCTTTTGGGTATGGTAAATTCAAATTCTACTCACAAATAGCTTTTGGGTACGGTAAATTCAAATTCTACTCACTGATAGCTTTTGGGTATGGTAAATTCAAATTCTACTCACTGATAGATTTTGGGTATGGTAAATTCAAATTCTACTCACTGATAGCTTTTGGGTATGGTAAATTCAAATTCTACTCACCGATAGCTTTTGGGTATGGTGAATTCAAATTCTACTCACTGATAGATTTTGGGTATGGTAAATTCAAATTCTACTCACTGATAGCTTTTGGGTATGGTAAATTCAAATTCTACTCACCGATAGCTTTTGGGTATGGTGAATTCAAATTCTACTCACAAATAGCTTTTGGGTATGGTAAATTCAAATTCTACTCACTGATAGCTTTTGGGTATGGTAAATTCAAATTCTACTCACAAATAGCTTTTGGGTATGGTAAATTCAAATTCTACTCACAAATAGCTTTTGGGTATGGTAAATTCAAATTCTACTCACAAATAGCTTTTGGGTATGGTAAATTCAAATTCTACTCACAAATAGCTTTTGGGTATGGCAAATTCAAATTCTACTCACCGACAGCATTTGGGTATGCTAAATTCAAGTTCTACTCACAAATAGCTTTTGGGTACGGTAAATTCAAATTCTACTCACTGATAGCTTTTGGGTACAGTAAATTCAAATTCTACTCACCGATAGCTTTTGGGTACGGTAAATTCAAATTCTAGTCGCCAATAGCTTTTGGGTATGGTAAATTCAAGTTCTACTCACTGATAGCTTTTGGGTATGGTAAATTCAAATTCTACTCACAAATAGCTTTTGGGTATGGTAAATTCAAATTCTACTCACAAATAGCTTTTGGGTATGGTAAATTCAAATTCTACTCACAAATAGCTTTTGGGTATGGCAAATTCAAATTCTACTCACCGACAGCATTTGGGTATGCTAAATTCAAGTTCTACTCACAAATAGCTTTTGGGTACGGTAAATTCAAATTCTACTCACTGATAGCTTTTGGGTACAGTAAATTCAAATTCTACTCACCGATAGCTTTTGGGTACGGTAAATTCAAATTATAGTCGCCAATAGCTTTTGGGTATGGTAAATTCAAGTTCTACTCACAAATAGCTTTTGGGTACGGTAAATTCAAATTCTACTCACTGATAGCTTTTGGGTACAGTAAATTCAAATTCTACTCACCGATAGCTTTTGGGTATGGTAAATTTAAATTCTACTCACGATAGCTTTTGGGTATGGTAAATTCAAATTCTACTCACTGATAGCTTCTGGGTATGGTAAATTCAAAATCTACTCACTGATAGCTTTTGGGTATGGTAAATTCAAATTCTACTCACTGATAGCTTTTGGGTATGGTAAATTCAAATTCTACTTACCGATAGCTTTTGGGTATGGTAAATTCAAATTCTAGTCGCCAATTGCTTTTGGGTATGGTAAATTTAAATTCTACTCACGATAGCTTTTGGGTATGGTAAATTCAAATTCTACTCACAAATAGCTTTTGGGTATACTAAATTCAAATTCTACTCACTGATAGCTTTTGGGTACAGTAAATTCAAATTCTACTCACCGATAGCTTTTGGGTATGGTAAATTCAAATTCTAGTCGCCAATTGCTTTTGGGTATGGTAAATTTAAATTCTACTCACGATAGCTTTTGGGTATGCTAAATTCAAGTTCTACTCACAAATAGCTTTTGGGTACGGTAAATTCAAATTCTACTCACTGATAGCTTTTGGGTACAGTAAATTCAAATTCTACTCACCGATAGCTTTTGGGTACGGTAAATTCAAATTCTAGTCGCCAATAGCTTTTAGGTATGGTAAATTCAAATTCTAGTCGCCAATTGCTTTTGGGTATGGTAAATTCAAATTCTACTCACCGATAGCTTTTGGGTATGGTAAATTCAAATTCTACTCACAAATAGCTTTTGGGTATGGTAAATTCAAGTTCTACTCACAAATAGCTTTTGGGTATGGTAAATTCAAATTCTAGTCGCCAATTGCTTTTGGGTATGGTAAATTCAAATTCTACTCACTGATAGCTTTTGGGTATGGTAAATTCAAATTCTACTCACAAATAGCTTTTGGGTATGGTAAATTCAAATTCTACTCACAAATAGCTTTTGGGTACGGTAAATTCAAATTCTACTCACTGATAGCTTTTGGGTACAGTAAATTCAAATTCTACTCACCGATAGCTTTTGGGTACGGTAAATTCAAATTCTAGTCGCCAATTGCTTTTGGGTATGGTAAATTTAAATTCTACTCACGATAGCTTTTGGGTATGGTAAATTCAAATTCTACTCACTGATAGCTTTTGGGTATGGTAAATTCAAATTCTACTCACCGATAGCTTTTGGGTACGGTAAATTCAAATTCTAGTCGCCAATTGCTTTTGGGTATGGTAAATTTAAATTCTACTCACGATAGCTTTTGGGTATGGTAAATTCAAATTCTACTCACAAATAGCTTTTGGGTACGGTAAATTCAAATTCTACTCACAAATAGCTTTTGGGTACGGTAAATTCAAATTCTACTCACAAATAGCTTTTGGGTATGGTAAATTTAAATTCTACTCACCGATAGCTTTTGGGTACGGTAAATTCAAATTCTAGTCGCCAATAGCTTTTGGGTATGGCAAATTCAAATTCTAGTCGCCAATAGCTTTTGGGTACGGTAAATTCAAATTCTAGTCGGCAATAGCTTTTGGGTATGGTAAATTTAAATTCTACTCACCGATAGCTTTTGGGTATGGTAAATTCAAATTCTAGTCGCCAATAGCTTTTGGGTACGGTAAATTCAAATTCTACTCACCGATAGCTTTTGGGTACGGTAAATTCAAATTCTACTCACAGATAGCTTTTGGGTACGGTAAATTCAAATTCTACTCACCGATAGCTTTTGGGTACGGTAAATTCAAATTCTACTCACCGATAGCTTTTGGGTATGGCAAATTCAAATTCTACTCACCGATAGCTTTTGGGTATGGCAAATTCAAATTTTTCATGATTTCAATAAATTCTTCTTTTGACTTTGTCAGTCTTGGATTACATCTAAGTTCCTCCTCAACTGTTGTAACTGTTTGACCTTTGACATGAGAAAGTAGCAATGTACATTGAGGGCGCTATGTTAGACTTACTTCAAAGTCAGGCTTGTGATACCTTTTGTTGTTCACCATATACAAATTTGTTTAAAGTTTGATTCTTGATATATCACAGAGAAGCACGTTTATAAAGCACATTTGATACAGATTAACACCAGTAACCTTAAACTGGTTCTTAGTTCACATTAAGGCTAAAAGCAATGTGACATACCTGCGTAGTCATGGGCTGGATACAGAAATGTTTGAGGTGGTAAGGATAATATTTTATCATGGACAGAGTCATATAACTGGGCAGAATCACCTAGAGAGATATAATAAAGAAAATGAATACCTGCTATTGTTAAATAATCTTTTTTTTTTAGTGGATTGCATTGACTTCAATATAGTGCACGGATTGAAGTCACCATTTAAGAGAGACAGACAAAAAATGTTTGAAAACATCACTGATGGACACCTAATTTTAAAATGAAAATGTTGAAACAGAAAATTGAAATTTTTTCCATTTTTTTAATTAATACAAGGACTTCTATATAAACAAATCTACAAAATATAGAAAGTAATTTCCTGTTTAATTTAACAGACTTTATTTTTCTGGAATATGATTGTAAAGTTACTTATTACATATTAGACACATTTTAAGCTATGAATTTTCAAAGTTTACCCTAGTTTCAAATTACTGTAACTAGCATTAAAATGTAACTTATCACAAAAATGCAAGTACATGTACTGGAAAGCATTAATTTTACTGTTTAGATCATATGCATTCATTGTGTCTATAAATTCAAATTTTCCAGTGAAACAATGAATTCTATTTTCTTTTTAATATTCATGTGGAATTCACTCATCAGCGAAAAAAGCAAAATTATAATGTAAACACATTAATTATTTCCTGTTTTTTTCATTTTGCTATTTTTTTTAAAAGTTAAATTCACGTGAACATGTAGAATAATAATAGAACCCACTGTCTCCCAGTCAAGTTTGCGAATTTAAAACCCAGTGAAATCGTTCAAAATATCAAAATGATGAAATTAAATGTCAATGAAAATAAATGGTTTTACAGTATTAACAGTATCATTACAAATCAACTTTTTAATGATATCTTAGTCTTTGAAATTCAACGTTATTGTACTTGAAAAAAGGTTATAGTCATTTGATAATTGCTAACCGTCGACCACTTTGAACTTGATCAGCAATATTTTTAATATCTTTTATCTGTTATAAGGGGACGACAAGATAAACTCGAGACTACTTCAAGATAGCGTGCATACATCAAAGATAGACCCATATCTGACCCTGACAGTTCGTTGATATCAATCTATAACCCATATTTGACTATAAATTATGACTGGTTTCCAGTTTATTTACAAATCGTGACATTGGCATGTTTTGTTGAAGGTTGCTCAGAACAGTTCAAGAAAGTCTTGCAATTTTACTTATTGCTATACAAGGTCATACGTGAAAAAGAATTGAGTCATGGACCAGATTTGTTAGATAAATGTACATGGCACTAGATGGAAAAATTAATATCATGACACGATCAAAAAGCGATAATTATTGCGAATTTCAAAACTGAGAATAAAAAAACTATGTGTCTGAAACTATATAACTTAATAAAATAAAAAAGGTGTACTTCTCACTTATCAATAAGGGGTACTCCCATGTTTTAAACATTTTAAAAACAAAAGGTTCTGCTGGACAAATTCAGCAATTTTCGCAACAATTTTTCCCCAAATAATTCTTGAAATAGGGTATTTATGTTAGGGAAAAGAGTATGTAACATTTTATCTGGTTGACATACAAACACATTTGGTCAAAACGTTATTACAATACCTTGTTGGAAATCGGTTCTCCCACACCCCCTGATTAATAACGCATCTCCGGTGAAAGCGATAACGGATTTACCGTTCTGATGGAGTATGTAGGTTTGACATCCTTCTGTGTGACCTGGAGTAGACACTACTTTTAATGTCTGCAAATATGAAAAAAATATTAACCGTTCATAGTATTTCAAAATCCAGTGTTATCCCAGGAAAATAGCATAGTGTGACCATAACTTTAAGGTACACATTATGATGAAAACTAGAAATTTTGTTGGCATATATCTTTAATCGCATATTTGTATTAATTATTCACATGGTTTTAATTTTACTATTTGGTATTTAAAGCGGGGGAGTCGTCAACTGCGCATGTGTTAGATGGCCGTAGCGTGTCATTGTTTACAAACAAGCATATACCCATGAGCCTTTGCGTTGTTAGCGCGTGTTGTTATCGTCACTTGGGACTCAATTCCCGCATGTGCGCAGGTGACGACCCTCCCGCTTTAAGTGAAATCAGCTAAATTAAATCCATATTAACATGTAAAATAATAATAGCACTGAATGTTTCCTTGCGCAGTTGGTGAACTTGTAACCTAGTGAAATTGCTCAAAATATCGGAAACAAGAAATTAAATGCCAGTTAAAATAAATGGTTTTACAGTTGTTTTAATATTTATGAGAACACTTCTCATAATTCATCAAATTATATTTTTACCCCCAGAAAAGTAAGAGGAGATTTACATGTATAAGATGTTCCCTTAATTCCAACTTGACCCCTGAATTGTGTTTCCAGCCAATAAATTTTTATCTTATTTTTTCTGTCCCTGCTGCTACAGAGTCATCTGGTGAGGTCTTTACCACAAATCAGCATATTTGGAAAGTCAGAAGTGATATTGTGATTTTCCCATGACAAATTTGCCTCTTAAAATTAAAACGAACGACAGCATCATTATTATACTTACAAATCTACCGAATGTTATGGCATCACCTTCAACTACATGAACATCAGCCTTTGCTTTGGAAACTTCTGCTATCACACTGCGACACATTGGGTACAGCTTTTTTAATTCACCGGTACCAGTCACATGATCGGCATGTACATGGGTATTCACTAGAATGAAAAATAGAGTTTATAGCATCCGGAGGTGGATGTACAGTACATGTATTCTGCAAAAAAATACATCAGAGCATGGCAGTTCATTTAATTCGGCAAAAAAAGGGTTTTGGTTCTTGTCATCAACAGTGTACCCTCTAAAAGAACTGATTTTTTTGGAATCTCAAGTCAAAATAAAATCCCCAGAATCAGTTTGTTGTCTGTGTAGGCGACTTAAGGCACAAACAAAAATGTTGTTATGAGATATTCCAGACCTCTACAATAAGTTCTTTTTGTACCCCGTACCCCTAACCCTAATTCTAATCCTACCCTCCAGCAATTTAATTGTATATGCTCCTTCTAAGGACACCTGTATTTATCTAGAGGAAGCATATGTAGTTGAATTGGGGGCTTGGAGTGACGGTTAGTGTTAAGATTAGGGGGGGGGGAGGTACCTGCAACAATTGAACTGTATGTATTGACGCCATTTTAATTCAGCAATCAGATTTACAGGCAACAACTGATTGTAAACATTCAATTAATTTTCATGTATATATTTGTATCATTCAAACTACTGTAAAACCTCTCGTTTTCGTGAGCATGTCTTTTTAGCAAATTTAGCAAGAGAACTGATTTGCTAATTAAAGATTTCGCTAATGACTTTATTATAAATTCAAAATGGCCAAGGCTTGGGCATTTGTATACAGTAATCCGGAACATAAAAATCTGACAGTTGACAGTTTTTCTTTGTTTTTATGGAGGTGATAACTGTCCATTTGTTTTAGCACGCGACAAACAAGTATCGTAAAAACAGGAAATCAACAATGACAAGAGAGATTCGCTAAATCAACATTTCGCTATAACGTCATTTTATCACAATTCGCTAAAATTGCATGCCACTTTTTCAACATGTTTTACAGTATATTATTATTGTTTTTCAAAGCATTCTGTTCAATAGTGTGGCCGTAGGTCATCTAAACTTAAACTTGAACAATCAACAATAAGTATAGATATCAATGTGCTTTCAATTGTTTAATACGTGTGCTTCAAGTTAAACATACTTCAAGAAAGTCGCTCATTTTTTGTATCACATTGGCAAGTCAAAAACGCTGTGAAATTTATTCTAGAAAACAACATGTACACTAGAACAGATTGTAGTACTATTAATGGTATTCGAAATGAGAAAACATTTGATTGTGGATAGGTGACCACATGTTTGTTGAATTGTACATGTCTCAGAGACTGTTTTATTGGCCATGCTGATAATTATATGTTCGATTTACTTACAAGCAAAGATCAGTTTAAGTCCCAAATCTTCAATAACACGTGCATCTCTCTTTACAAGCTCTATGACAGGGTCGATGAGTACTGCCTCAGTTGTCTCATCATCTCCTAGCAGGTAAGTGTATGTGTATGACTGATAGTCAAACAACTGTCAAAATAGATAATAAAGTCCTTATTAATAAATTTATAATATCAAATAGAAGTTCAAGATTTAGCTGTCGTAGAACCACACCAAGGGACAGGGAAAGTTGTAGAACACCATACTGGCCAAGGGATGGAAAAGGTTGTAGAATCCCACCAAGCTTACGAAGGGAGTCGATAATATCACGTTTTAATGACAAAACAGCAAGTCTCTAAAAATATAGAATTTAAAAAATAATCTTTAAGTGAACAAATTTTATAAGGTCCACCAAACGTACCTACTCATCAAATTTCATGCATTTGTATTCCTGTTGATTTTAATTATATGTTTTATGTCTTAAAAGTGTGTCTTAAATTAGAGTTATGAATGCTCTTTGATGAAGTTTGATTTTATTTAAAATTTTATTTAGTGATAAACTTTGACAACAAAACATATTTTGTCAATAGAACCATTTCTTTAATGTACATGGTTAAGTGACATCTCATTGGTCCATTTAGTGCCATTTTCATGTCAAAATGTTGGTGCAACATTTTGCTTATATTTATTTATTATTTTTATTTATAATTTTTGACCAACTTTCTTAATGGCTGCAGATTTTTATCAAAATGTTGGAAAAATATGAAACAATGTCTGTTTTATTTTGTGAATAGTGAAAAACGAAGACTTATTGTGACCACAGTGTCAGTGATTAACGGACATCTGTTAAGACTTTCCATTAAGGTACTCATTAAGGTAAAGGTGTAAACATGAATCAATCAGAATCAACCACTTCTTAGCCTATTTGTTTTCAGTCCCAGACATTTGTTTATATTGAAACCCAGTATTCTCAGAAGATTTGAGAGATTGATTGCCAGTGATATTGGGTACAAGATAGGAATTCACAATTTTAAAGACAGACAGAGAGACAGATGACTATTTCTATTAGGACTAGTGAGAGCATTGAATGCATATCAATTATGTGACCAGTCATGCATGCATGCACGGTTCAATAAATGAAGCTTTTAATCTTGTGATATTTTCGCATGAGACATTAGCCAATAGACTGTCACTGCAACATCCTGCATTTATGCGCTAAAATCGAATGAAAAAACAGGACAAAGGTCTAGCATTGTCGTTGCGTCAACAAATCATGTTTAATAATGGTCAATTTTGGTGAAGTGAGGATAATGTGACATTTCTCTGTGAAGGATTGGCATTTCGAAATTAAACTATATAAAACAAGCAGCCTGTCGGCTGAGATAGCTCCGCTGTTAGCAATGCACATTTTAATAAAAGAACAGAAGATATCATTAGAAAATGAACAATATGTATAGTATCAAAGCAACAGGACTTGCTGTTTTCAACAAGAGTTCAAAAATATCACTTTTCACCAAAAATGACAAAAATAATCATCAAAATTAGATAATTGAAGATATCACCACAGAATAAGTACCTATATATGTAATATAAAAACAATCGGACTTGTGGTTTTCAACAAGAAGTCGAAAATATCACTTTTTAACAAAAATGACAAAAATATTAAGCAAAATTAGATAATTGAAGATATCACCACAGAATTAGTACCTATATATGTAATATAAAAACAATCGGACTTGTGGTTTTCAACAAGAAGTCGAAAATATCACTTTTTACCAAAAATTGCAAAAATATTCATCAAAATTAGAGAATTGAAGATATCATTACAAATTGAACAAATCTGAGAGAGGTCCACATGTAGTACCTATATAAGTAATATCAAAGCAATTGGACTTGCGGTTTTAACAAGAAGTCAAAAATATCACTTTTTACCAAAAATGACAAAAATATTAAGCAAAATTAGATAATTGAAGATATCACCACAGAATTAGTACCTATATATGTAATATAAAAACAATCGGACTTGTGGTTTTTAACAAGAAGTCGAAAATATCACTTTTTAACAAAAATGACAAAAATATTAAGCAAAATTAGATAATTGAAGATATCACCACAGAATTAGTACCTATATACCCCCCGGTATGTAATATAAAAACAATCGGACTTGTGGTTTTCAACAAGAAGTCGAAAATATCACTTTTTAACAAAAATGACAAAAATATTAAGCAAAATTAGAGAATTGAAGATATCATCACAAAATGAACAAATCTGAGAGAGGTCCACATATAGTACCTATATAAGTAATATCAAAGCAATTTGTCTTGGGGTTATTTACAAGAAGTCAAAAATATCACTTTTTACCAAAAATGACAGAAATATTCACCAAAATTAGAGAATTAAAGATATTATTACAAAATGAACAAATCTGAAAGAGGTCCACATGTACATTGTAGTACCTATATATGCAATATCAAAGCAATTGGACTTACGGTTTTTAACAAGAAGTCAAAAATATCACTTTTTACCAAAAATGATCAAAATATTCACCAAAATTAGAGAATTGAAGATATCATCATGAAATGAACAAATCTGAGAGAGGTCTACCCAAGGTACATGTACATCAAGTATCAAAGTATTCAGGCTTGTAGTTTTCAAGAAGAAGTCGAAAAAGTAAAACATTGACACGGACGACGGACAATCACTCATATGATAAGCTCCGCTCGACAAAGTCGACAGCGGAGCTAAAAAGAGGATTCAAATCATTTGATTATTGAAGCAGAAGTTCTATCCATGTCTTTCACACATTACGCAAGATCTTGCAGTAAGCATAAAATCACCGAATTTTGGCAAGATTTTAAAGCTCCATGATATAACCAAGTTTGATGTTGTTAATAAAAATTACTCAAATTATCCTTCACACACTATCAATATTAACAACGCAGACAAGACAACACCCCCCACCCACCCCCACCCCAAATACCTTTTCCCCTTCATATTTAAATATTACAGAAAAGGTAAAAATGAAATGTAGGTAGTCAAAACAAAACTGGAAAACTACTGTCTGTCCACATATGTTTTGATGAGTCAATAATATGTTCCTCAGCTTGTTCAGCAAAGAGGACAATGCATGCTGCCATGTTCTGGAATTTAATATATACACATGCAATAGATGAAAATTTCTTGACAACCCATATCAAGCAGTGAGATTGAAAGGTGGTTTATCTTTGTAAGAAAAAATCAGTCACAACTACAGTGTAAAGTAATTTAATACAACTATAGCAAGCTGTGCTAAGTTGTGTTGTACCTATTTGTTTTTTAAATGCTTAAAACATTCAAACAAGCAGCCTCTCGGCTGAGATGGCTCTGCTGTTATCATTAAAAAATGAACAATATGTAGACTTGCTGTTTTTAACAAGAATTCAAAAATATCACTTATCACCAAAAATGACAAAAATAATCATTAAAATTAGATAATTGAAGATATCACCACGAAATTAACAATCTGAAAGAGGTCCACATGTAGTACCTATATATGCAATATAAAAGCAATCGAACTTGTGGTTTTTAACAAGAAGTCGAAAATATCACATTTTACCAAAAATTGCAAAAATATTCATCAAAATTAGAGAATTGAAGATATCATTACAAAATGAACAAATCTGAGAGAGGTCCACATGTAGTAACTATATAAGTAATATCAAAGCAATTGGACTTGCGGTTTTAACAAGAAGTCGAAAATATCACTTTTTACCAAAAATGACAAAAATATTCACCAAAATTAGAGAATTAAAGATATCATTACAAAATGAATAAATCAGAGAGAGGTCGACATGTAGTACCTATATATGTAATATCAAAGCAATTGGAATTGCGGTTTTTAACAATAAGTCGAAAATATCACTTTTTACCAAAAAAGACAAAAATATTCATCAAAATTAGAGAATTGAAGATATCATCATGAAATGAACAAATCTTAGAGAGGTCCACATGTAGTACCTATATATGTAGTATCAAAGCAATTGGACTTGCGGTTTTTAACTAGAAGTCGAAAATATCACTTTTTACCAAAAATGACAAAAATATTCATCAAAATTAGAGAATTGAAGATATCATCATGAAATGAACAAATCTAAGAGAGGTCTACCCAAGGTACATATACACCAAGTATCAAAGCATTCAGGCTCATAATTTTCAAGAAGAAGTCGAACAAGTAAAACATTGACACGGACGACAGACGACGAACGGACAATCACTTATATGATAAGCTCCGCTCGACAAAGTCGACAGCGGAGCTAAAAAGGGAGTAGTTCTAAACTGATTTCGACATCACTGAAATGTACACCTAGTTGCCTTCAAAACGTAATATAGTAATATAGACTAGACATAAAGTGAATATGCCCCTGTGTGTTAATTAGTTTCTAACTATTCAAATTACTTGAGAAGATTACGGTAATTCAAAATTAAAATAGGAATGAATAACAGATTTTTCTGGTTTAAGAATATTTATGTTTATATTATGAATCATTTTTTTCAGAAATAGTTACATATAATTAGCAAATTAGTTAATAATCTGCAGACTATTATCGTGTCTGCTTTTTGCGTCCCTTTAAACCAATGTAAAAAAAACACATAAATGACGTAAATTAAAAATGGTGGAGTTCAAACCCCCTTTGAAGGGAATATTAGCACTAGCGTAAATATTACACAATACGTCAGTAGATGGGAACATGTTACGCCAGGGTAAAAGGGTAAAATACAATAGAGAAAACATCGACGACCATTCATGAAGGTGTTGTAAGTGTATTGGTGTCCTAAACTCAGACAACTGTAGTGAAGTTATATCTTATTTCAAAGTAGGCAGTCTCCCAATGAGTGTTAAAGTTTTAGTCAGTTTAGGGCTGTATACGGTGTTAAACTTGAAATATGCCGACTGGTTCCAATACAGATCTACTAAAAATAGATTACCTCCATTTTTCAACAAATGTATATATATATGTACAACTTTATGACATTTTACAGGCCAAGAAATACATGTATTAACAATTACTGATGGAATGAAAAAGTACACAAAAAATAGAAATATATGGTCAGCCAAAACATCTCCTATCTACAAGTCAGCACCATTGTGTGCATTACCCAGTGGCCGCCATATTTACAACTCGTGTAAGAATCTAAGATTATGAAATCCGCATCTTTTTAATTAACTGGCATAATTATGCGATGTTTTCTAGTGAGAACATAGTATTCTCAATAATTGTTTTTTGTACCAGGCGACAGTGTTGGACATTGAATGTCACTGTTGACTTGATTTATCAAGACATGTATGGAAATGGTTAATTAGTGTGCAAATTTATTTTTAATTTATTTGAGTAAACTGTTTGCAAAGATATACAAAGAGCATGAGATAATCAATTAATTATGCAAATTAGTTAATATGCACCACAGATCAATTAAAAGCTGTTACACATTTACCTGAGCAAATAGCAACCATGTAGCTATTTAATTAAACTGTTATAAAGATAACATCAACAAATTTGCTAATGAAAATGCAGAGATTGATTCCGTCATGACACAAACAGTACATGAGTACTAAGTTTCAATCAATTAGACATTCAACAAAACATACAGTAGGCAGGTATCAAGTTTTAAGCAATTTGAGAAAACTATTGCCATGATACAGAATAAACAAACTAAAAACAGTTAATTAGAAAGCTAATCAGTTAATTAATATACACAGATTGATTTAAAAATATTATTTGATATTGATCTACACAAAAATGTTCATGTACTTTGTTTTAAACCACTTTAGTAAAATATTATCATACAAACAAAACATTATAGAGTAGAAGTTCCTAACTGTTTTGGATAAACATTAACATAACCTATTGTTATGCAAATTGTTGATACTGTATACAGTTTTGCTGGAGAGAACACTGTTAATGAAAACAGTTACTTATGTATGCATATAATTGAACTGAGCAAATTAATTAGAATTAATTAATAATCATCTATAAAAGTGTTATACATGTACCAAGTTTCAACCAATTAGAGCAAACTATTGTTCTGATTCGGAAGAAACAAGCTAAAATAGGTCAATTAGTATGCAAATTAGCTAATTAATCTACACAAACAGCAATCATGTACAGCATTTCAATGTATTTGTGCATTTTTACACAAACTAAAACTGATTAATTTATTGTTATGCAAAATCTTATCATGATATAATACCTATGTGTCAAGTGTCATTTCAATCCAGCCAGTGATTCTTGAGATGTTAGTGGAAACAAGATTTACCACAGACACACACACACACACACACACACGGACGGACGGACGGACAGACAGACAGACAGACAGACAGACAGACAGACAGACAGACAGACAGACAGACAGACAGACGGACGGACGGACGGACGGACGGACGGACTGACGGATGGACTGACGGACGGACTGACAGACAGACAGACAGACAGACAGACAGACAGACAGACAGACAGACAGACAGACAGACAGACAGACAGACAGACAGACATCAGCATGACATGCTTTGCACACACAGGAGCAAAAAATTGGGGAGGTTTATTATGTGAAAGGTCACAAAGTTGAATTTGTGTAAAACAATAAATCAAAGAAATTATAGCCTCTACACAGATATGCTTTTCAGAGTAATTTATGAGCATTTTTTCACAAACAGAAAATTGAATAGGCATTTTATTGATTTTATTCAAATAAATGAATTAAAAGGAAATATTATTAAGTAGGTGAACAGTGTATAGAAATTGATATTACTGACAGTTCAAATACCGGTACTATCGGTAGTTAACACACTAGAGAGGGCTGATAGTCAAACACACTCATAAAGCAGTTGCCATTATCAAAGAAATATGTTCACACTTGTCTGAAAGTAAACATGATTCGCTGATCAGAGATCAGGAATAAAAGTGTATCCCAATCAAAAATTATTATACATTTATAAATATTCATATAAATAAAAACCATAAACTGCTATATCTATGGGTAACCTGAAATACAAACATTTTGTATGTGTCTGAAACTTTTTTGTATTTTAAAAATCCAGATCCTGAACAGGATATGATTTCAATAAAGGCATTATTATTATTATTATTACAATAGTTTTTTTTTTTTAAATATAATTTCACAAACTATATATTATATCGAACCAACAGTTATAAACACAACGTATGAAAGTGAACCACATTACGAATACCAGTATTAAGCTGTCAATATACGCCCAGATCATAAAACCCTTATAATCAGTCGTATAATGTAGTGTAGCGACCTACATTCAGTGCATGGTCGGTCGTGCCGATATCAGCATGCTTTAGAAAAATAAAGGTTTAATATTCTAAATATACGACGCAGTAGCACGCCACAAATAAATAACACATTATATCAAACTGGACTTTTCGTCAGATTGAATAATCTGAAATTGAAATAAAAAAAATTAACACAAAAAACACTAAAATGTGACTTACTTGTCGAAAGATCAAGCCAGCGGGGAAAGTAACTGCGTTTGACTTGAACCTTGCTGGTTGGAAATTCGGCAAAGTTTTACAGAAAGATTTCACACTGGGTTCCTGACGAGCAACTCGTAGGGCTGCAGAACATATATTTCTTGCAATGACATTCATTTTGATCCGCGTCGATCAGACCGGTGTTGCCGCTAAATCAGTATAAAGCGTTGTGTGACTGTATATTTGACTCCCGACCAAACATAAGCATGTCACAGCGGTCATAGGTTAAAGTTCGAGCAAATTTGGTTATTAACAAGCGAGTTGGACTCGATTTCCTGTCCCTCGTGTATATATTACCGGTATATTTGTTATACTGCCCTCGACGGTATAATACAGTGACTCGGCTTGCCGGTGCCCTGGTCAGAGCACAGGGAGTTGGACAAACTTATGTATTTTAATAAATTATTAAATAATTAAATAAAATGTTATATAACTTTTCTTTTACCCCCCCCTGGTATAGATTTCAAGTAATCACTGATCTTTGTTTATACACCGTCCCTCAACACCCGGTTAAGAAACGCTATTGTCTAAAGGTGTTAATTCCTTAATCAACCAGGCGATGCGCGTTTCGCTCAAATCGACTAACA